CCAGCATTCCAAGCAGCACACGTGCCCAAGAGGCATGGCGCCCAGTGGTCGCAGCGGGGCCTGGGTCACGTGAGCCCCAACTCTGCAGACTTGCTGAGTGATCTCAGGACAAGGGCAGCCCTTACCCACTGCCCTGCCTGCAGGGCAGGCAGCCTGCAGCCCTTCCATCACTCCCCATCGGGGTCATAATCGTTGCTAAATACCAGTTATCATGCACCACACCCCCACTTGATCTGCCGACTCCCCTGGCAGCTCAGGGCTCTTTGTAAGCACATTCTCTCTGCCTCACTTGCTCTTTTATTCTCACCTTTGGAGGGAGGGGTGAGACACCCCACCTAGGGGGAATGGGGCTGCGATCAAGATGCGGCACATCTGGGGCATCCTGGGTGTCGTCCCGTTCGGGAGGGCCCCTGCCCCCCCCCCCCACCCTGTACTGACTGCTCCTGCTAAGTTCTGGGGACTCTGCCCGCTGGTCCTGAGGGAAAAGGAGGGCCACCCATGCTCTGCGATCTTTGGGCTACTTAATCCCCTGTGTCTGTTTCCTCATAGAACCCTCTGCCGTTTCCTCTGTGTCTGCCCAGGATGCCTGCTGGAGTGTCCCAGCTGCTCCCCAGCATGGAGACACATGTGTGAACACATACACACAACACACACACATACAGCCCACAGACACACACATGCCCCTCCCAGTTCCTCATCTTTTCCCAAAGGCCCCAGCCCGTGCTCCCGCCACCCAGAGACCAGGACTTCAGAGCTGCCAGCCCTGAGGGGTATTGAGTTTTGAACCCTGGAAGCTTTTTTTTTTTTTTAAATGCAAACATCTAACCCCTAAATGAGCTCTAACCACACAGAACTGCACCACTGCTCTGTGATGGGAAGACTCCAGGGACTCAGGGCTGTTGCTAAAAAACCACTCATCTTGCCTCCACTCCCATTTTGCAGAGACCAAGAGAGGAGCAATGTCCAAAATCCTGGCCTCTGTCCCACCCCACGAGGAGGAGGCGGGTAGTGCCACCCACTGCAGGTACCAGGGCTCCCATGGGTCACGCCCTCTGTGCTCCAGGCTTTCTCCTTTCTCCCTCAGAGCCCTCCGAGCCCAAGGTCACATGGCTGGTGAATACCAGCGCCCAACACTGCCCACCGGGCAGCCACCTGCTTGAAAGAGAGAAGGCCGAGGGGGGTGGGGTGGGACGTGGGGCGGGGACAGGCAGTTGTGATGGAGGGGACCTGGCTTATGCTGACTTGGCTGAAGTCAGGCTCAGAGGACAGGCCCCTGGCTGACCAGGCTTGATGCTGGGGTTGTGAGTGACTGTGGGGTATCAGGGCAGGAGGCCGGGGCTGGTGGTCCCACCTCCTACCTCCCACGTCCCGGGAGGGCCCTACAGGTTCCTTGCTGTTACCAGATACTGACACAAGGTGGCGCCCTGGTCAAGAGCGGGACGATGGCCCCTCCAGGTGGTCTGCTCCCACCTGCCTCCTACCTGGCCCTAGCTCTGTCCCATTCCAAGGACTTCCCTGGATCCTGTGGCATGAGGAGGTGCAGTGCAGACTACAACCAGCTCTCCTGGCTCCTGCCAGGCTTTTTGTAAGCTACCACTTGCTTCTTAGACACCCAGACACCTGCCCTTCTAGAGAGCATCATCTATGCACAGGGGAGACATTTTGGCCATTTTGACCCAAAGCCAGAAGCGACTCTGGCAGCCAGTGGGATCCACTGGGTGCCGCAGGGAGATTTCACAGAACAGCAGAATCCACTCAACACATTTCCGCAAGCTCCTACTATGTGCCAGGCACGGTGCTGGGACCTAAGCTTCCTGCCGTCCACTGGGCCCACTGGGCCTGTGTGGAGGGACAGGTGTGACCCCACTGGACAGCTGAGAAAACTGAGGCTCAGAAAGGAGGTGTGAACTGCCCGGCACCGGGCAATTGACCCAGGGGTGGCTATCTCGATCCCACACTGTGCTGTAGCCCAAAGGGGTTCCCAAAGGACTGGTTTGCCCAGGACTGCGTGAAGCCATGCCCTGTGAGAAAGCCTGGGGCTTGGGGAGAGGCAGGGGCCACCAAGCACCGATCCTAGGACCCTGGGGCCTTCCTCAGCCCCAGCTGTTACAATCCCCAGGCGCAGAGGGGCCCAGGGTTTAACGGTCACTCGGGGCTGGGGTTAAAGCAGATTATACTCCCTGAGTTACATCACCTTCTGGCTGTGACCTCAGGCAACCCTCTTAACCGCTCTGGGCCTAAATTGCCCCTAATAAAAAAAAAAGAGCTAATGCTAACACCCATCCTATAGGGCTGCTGATGGGATGAAGTTCCTGGCATGGTCCTGGACAGGAGTGGGGACCCCACAAGCCTCCACACCCACGCGCACTGCCCACAGTGACCGAGGGCGCTGAAACATGGGTGGGTCTTCTCCCCCTCCCAGCCCAGGGCCCAGGGCCCAGGCTCACCTCTGGCAGGGCACGGCAAGCTGGCGTTCTCTCCTGCTACCCTCTCCAGCAGGCCACTGGTCTCATCGGCCCCCCAGTACGGCGGCTCTGGTGGAAGGTAACGCGGCCACAGTCACACACCCAAACCCAAGGCCTGGTGCTCCCCCGACCAGGAGCCCAGGGCTGGTGGAGGGGGCATTCCCATCCAGAACCCCAGCTGGAATAAGGGGGTACAAGCCCCGCGTTCCAGCCCGCAGCCTCGGGGAGAGTCAGGGCCGTGGCACCAGCTCACCCCCTGCGGGGTGGCCCATGGAACAGTGCCACGCACGACCCCGCGGGCTCGGGGGGCTGAGCTCAGGATCGTCCTGCCTTCTCTGAGTGTGTTACAAATTCATCATAGTGAAAATGCTAGCACCAGGGATCCAGAACTTTCTATGCACCGGGCACTTCACACACATTCTCTCACTGACCCCTCACATGTTACTGGACCCATGTTACAGGGTCAGAGTGTAAATGACTGGCCGATGGCTGTCCAGCTGGAAAGTGGGAGAAGCTGGCCCGTTGCTCTTCAATCACCACCTCACGGCGCCTGCACCCCACCCCGAGGACGGAGTCCCCCCCTGGGCTGGCAAAAGCGGCCCGACACGGCTTTGGGGGCTGGGAGGAAGGAAGGGGTCCAGCAGCTCAGAAGCCCAAGCTGCTGCTGGGGAAGGAGTGGGGAGGTAAGCTCTGGGGTTCAGGGGAGACTCACCCAGCACCCTGAGCTCCAGCTCCCAGGCATCCACACCAGCGCTGCTGGAGGCCTCACAGCGGTACGTCCCAGCGTCCGAGGTCCGGATGGCCACGAAGTGGACGGAGCCATTGGGCCCCCCGCCCCGCAGGGCCACCCCATCCTTGGACCAGGTCAGCTGGGGCTCCGGGTTGCCCTCGGCCACGCAGTTCAGGTCCAGAGCCTCCCCCACCAGTGCCTTCAGGAGCCGCGGGCCTGGCTGCACCTGGGGGGGCACTGACAGGGCCACGGGGAGGGCTGTCAAGGCAGGGGCCCCGGATGGGGGAAGTCACAGAGCCCAGACTTACAGAGAGGGCTCGGCCCGCTGCAGGGCTCCCCACACCCCTGGCCGTCGCCAACCAGCAGAAATCGTCATTGTGGGGGGCGACTGACAGTAGGACATCCCGTGTGGGCCCCCCCCCGCAAGAGTAGAATCAGCCTTTCCCTTGAACACACGTGTTGCCATCAAAAAATCGCTCCTTGGGCTTCCCTGGTGGCACAGTGGTTGAGAGTCCACCTGCCGATGCGGGGGACGCGGGTTCCTGCCCCGGTCCGGGAAGATCCCACATGCCGTGGAGCGGCTGGGCCCGTGAGCCATGGCCGCTGAGCCTGCGCGTCCAGAGCCTGTGCTCCGCAACGGGAGAGGCCACAACAGTGAGAGGCCCACGTACCTCAAAAAAAAAAAAAAATCGCTCCTCCGTGCTCAGCTTACTCTCCCCCCAGCCCCCACCCCCATCCCTACCCCCAGGCTTGCACCCAGCACCATTTGAGAACCACCAGCTGGGAAACACCAGCTCAGTGCTGGATGGGGACATCGAGGCCCAGGGGGCGGCGGGACTGACTCAGCCCAGGGGGCAGCATGTACAGAAGGGGAGGCTCAAATCCCAGCCCTGTCCCTCTCGGCCACAGGACCCCGCACTGGCTGGGGCCTCGGTTTCCCCTCCTCACAAAGAAGCCCTGGGATGGAATGAGATGCAGGACTAGAGCAGCCAGCAAGGAGCCTGCTCCACGGTGGCGCCTAAAACACTGCGGCTAGACTCACTCTCAGGGTTCCCAGCTCGCTCTTCCCCTTGCCTGGCTTGGGGAGGATAGTGGGTATTGTTTCTTCTGCATTTGTGTTTTTCAAGCAACTTTCCCATCCTCCATCCCAGTTGGTCCCTCCTATGGGGTGGGTGATGCTATGTCCATTTTGCAGATGAAGAAACTGAGGCTCAGAAAGGTTGTGTGACTCGACCAGAGTCACCCACTGCGTCGGCTCATAGGAGCTGGACGGGCCCCAAGGCTGGGTCTGTGTGACCAGGAATCCAGGTGGCTTCCGTGGGGCCAGACTGGATGAGCCTGGGAGAATTCTCAAAGACGAGGACAAGTGTCCTGGGCCCTCGGGGGAAGCTGAGGACACCCATTCCCTTCCCAGCTTCAGAGTAGGAGCCCAAAGATAAGACCATCTATGGAAGCTGGCCCCTGGGCAGAGATCAGCTCCCCCACCCAGAGCCCAGAGCCTCACTGTCTAGGAGCACGAGGGTATACATGCCCTGCCCACTACCCCCCTAAAAACACTTGCTGAAAACAACAGCAGTTTCCACTGTGCTGAGTGCCTGATGTCATCAATACCCTTTCTGACAACTATGGGACAGGCATTATTGCCTCCACTTTATAGAAGAAGAATCCAAGGCTCAGAGAAGCCAAGCAGCTGGCCTAAGGTCACACAGCCAGTCCGTGACAGAGTCAGCATTCGAACCCAGCTCTGCCGACTCTGAGGCCCTGCTCATCACCCTGCTTCCTGCTTCTCTGTTTCTCTCCCATGCTCACGCAAACTCATAGCGAAGCTTTGAGCCCCTCCCTCTCTGAACCTCAGCCTGTCCACCTGTAAAATGGGGAGTCAGCTTAGATCAAGGGTTGGCTTTTTCTGGAAAGGGCTTTTTCTGAAAAGGTTTTGCAGACCAGATGGTCTCTGTCTCAACTACCCAACTCTGCCATCACGGCGTGAAAGCAGCCACGGACGCTACGTAACCGAACGTGTGTGGTGGCACTCCAGTAAAGCTTGTATTTATGGACATTGAACCTGAACTCCATATCATTTTCATATGTCACATTATTTGCCTTTTTCCCCCCAATCGTTTAAAAATGTAGACATCATTCTTCACTCGTGGGCCACATGAAAACGGCATGTAGGTCAGTAGTGGCTGAGGGCTGCAGTCAGAGGACCCCTGTCTCAGACAACTCATCCCCGTGCTCCTGGAGATGACAAGGTCCCCGCCTCTTTGGTGGAGTGACTCCACTGGGTGGCTTCTGTGAATGGAACCTGGACACCCAGGTGAACATGCACTCCTGGGCCCCCACCTGAGCCAGGAACCAGAACCCCCTCCGTGGGTCCCCCTCCCAACGCCCAAGTCTCCAACGCCCAAGTCTCCAACGCCACGGGGCCCTGCCCTTTGCTCTCAGGGGGCCTCTGAACAGACTCTCCGGGCTCAACCAAGGAGTTCAGGAGAGGGGAAGAAGGGGGGTGAGGAGGAGAGATAAGGCTTGAAAAAGACAGGAAATAGAGTTGATGGAAGAAACACTGGAGGACCATGAAGAGGTGACAAAGCCTGGAGTGGAGATGGGGGAGGGGCACGAGAGGCCTAAGGAAGATGGGGGTTGGGGGGAACGGTGTGAGACAGAGGCTGCCAGCCAGGACCTTACCTTGCACCCTGAGGATGTAGTACCGAGCAGCGGACCCCGCAGGGTTACTGGCTGTGCATTCGTAGAGGCCGCTGTCACTCAACTGGGCCTGGGCCAGATGCAGGGAGCCTGATGGGAGGAGGCAATGCCTGTGGGAGTGAGGGGCACTGGTAAGACCCCAACCGACCCCACCTCTGCCAGAAAGGCCCAAGACCCAACTTGAACCAGCTGCCTCCTCCAGGCAGCCTGCCAGGACTGAGGCAGTGTCCGCCACCCACCCTTCACTCCTCCCCCTGCCCTGCCTCCACTTCCCCCAAACCACCAGGCCAAGGCCATGTCCCCTCCAACTTGCATAACAGACAAAGAGCACTAGGCTAGGAGTCCGCTGGCTGGGTTTAACTTTGAACCCTTCCCAGCTGGATGAAGCAAGTCCCTTCACCTCTTGGAGCCTCCATTTCCTCATCTGTAAAATGGGCATATTAAGAAGTTCTGTGGCCGAGGCTGGTGAACAGATTCCACGTGGGCTCAGCCCAGGGCCTGGTACCTAGTCGCCAGTAACTCTTCCTCCTCTAATGCACATGCCTACCGTCCCTCGACCCTGCCCTGAGAGTGGGGATGAGGCCTCATTTGGAGGCCCCCTCAATGGCTTCCAGGGAGAAGCTGCAGCCCAGAGACCCTCTGCGTCTAAGTGCCAGGTCTGGCCATGCTCTGAACCCAGGGCTTTTCAGTGTCCTGTTGTCCGGCGTTGTATTGGGCCCTCAGGAGGAAGTTGTAGAGGTCCCCCATCGCTGCGCTCCCCAACCTGGCCCACCTTGCTGAAGTCACCCGGCCCCCATCCCACAGGGATCTGGGACCCCCAGCCAGGCTCCTGCAGCTGGGCTGGACCCGAGGGGGCCTCTGCAGATATGATGTCACCAGCCCACATGTGCTGGCTCCGTGCAGTCCCTGCCCCCGTAGAACTGAGTGGGCAGCTGCGGCCAGTGGCCACAGCAGGGCCCCAAGTGCAAGCAGCTGGCACGGGGGCGGGGAGTGGGGGTGGTAACCTCCAAGGGCCAGCCCCCCCCCCCCCCCCCCCCGCCTATGCTCATCAGGGTACAGCTGGGCTCCAGTCCCGGTCTCCACTCCCGGCTCTGCTGAGTCTCAGATTCCTCCTCTGCAAAACGGGGATGACAATAGCCCCCATCTCCCAAGCAGGTGCAGGCCAAGTGCTGGACGTGCACTTATTAAACAGGTCAACATTGCTGGCAATTCACTCTCTGGACAACCACGGGGGACTAGCTGTGCTCTGCTGGTTTTCCGTCTCCCCATATGTAAAGTGGGCTTGTAATTCCCCTACCCAGCAAACCCTTCGTCCAGTTTGCCCTGAGCTTCCAGCAGGCACCTGGGGCAAGTTCTCTGAGGACACTTGTGAGTGATATACCAGGCAGTGGTCTCTAGAGCCCAGGCACTGGGCTGGGACAACTAGGTCCGACCCTGTTCTGCCATGTGCTTGCTGTGTGACACTGGGCAAGTCACTTAACCTTTCTGTGCCTCGGTTGTCTCCTTTTGGAAAAAAGAGACAACAGTGGTACTTAGCCCTCATAGGGCTGTCCGGAGAACGGAAAGACCTAATTCACAGCACAGTGCCTGGAACAGACGTACTCAGCAAAGGTCAGCTGTTATCATGGTGACGACAGTGTATCCATAACGATACGCAATGCAGTTTTGCATCGTTTAAAACTCTTATAGAAATGGTACCACGTGTATGTGCGTGGGTCTAATTCATTCACTCTTCACTGCTGTATAGTAGTCTGTTGTGTGATCGTACCACAATTGGATTAATTTGTTCTCCTTTTGGTGGGCATTTAAACATTCAGGTTTTCCTTTCCTCCCTCCCTCTCTTCTTTCCTTCCTTCGTTCTTTCTTTCTTTCACCACCAGAGTCCTCTGCACACTGATGTATGTGTCCCCACGCACAGGAGCAGGACTCCGGCGCCACAGGCTCACACACCATCAGCTCTCACAGGTAGAGTCCATCATTCCCCCTTGTAGAGCAGGGCTTCTTATAAGAATCCTCCAGCTATATGTGAAACATACAGATTCCCAGGCCCCGTCCAGAGACTCTGATCTGTGGGGGGAGGCTGGAATCGGGGTCTTACCAAGGTCCTCAGGGGGACCACTCCTTGGGAGTACTGCCCCAGGACACAGGGAAGTGCCCCTGCCCTGAGAAGCAGCCCGGCGGAGCAGATGGGAACAGGGCTTTGACAGCAAGTGACCCCTGCATCCACCGCCATTCGGCCTCTTGAAGGCTGACCTTGGGCCAAGGACTCCGTCTCCCTGAGCCCCGGTGCCCTCACCTGGGATCACAGGAGACGGCACGTATGGAGTGACATGGTGCACACAAAGCCCATGGTCCCTGGGACATAGTAAGTGCTCGATAAACAGCCCTGCTGCTAGTAAAAACCACGCCCCCCTCAACATGTCTGTGTTTCGCCCCCCAGCCCCCAATCAGCTGGGCAGCCCTAAGTAGGTCCCTTAATCTTCCAAAGTGGAAGAAAAAAGGAAAAAACAACACAGATGCTTTCTTGTCTCAGTGACAAGGAAACATTTCCCCTGTGTGGCTCCCCTCCCCTGGCTTGGCTTTTCTCATCCACAATTTTTTTTTTAAGTTAAATAACGTTGACACCCACCAAACACGAGCCAAATCAGTTTGAGGCTGAAACATACACACTGAGTCACACTTGGTGCAGGGACACGGTTCCCTCAGGGGACTTTGCTGCAAACCTCGACTAGCCAAGCAGGCACGCATGGGACAGCAAAAAGAGGTCTAGGCTGAGCACCAGAGTTCTGGATCTGAGGTCCAATTCTGCTACAGACGTGCTGAGCCAGCCCAGGCAGGGCAGACAACGTCTCTGAACCCCAATTTCTTCATATTTGAAAAGGCTGCTCTGGAATTCCTTTATCTCAGAGGTTGCCTTCTAGGTCTTCTAAGAACTTTAGAGAAGTTGTTTCCTCCCTCACCAAGCCCTTAAAAGGATAGGAAGTGGGAGCTTCTGGGATTAAAAAAAAATAATGAAAGAAACTTCCAAAAGTGGAAATAATTCTCAACAATAAATGTAGGCATCTTGTCTTTCTCATGATGACCCCCAGGTCATTTCCTAGAGAGGGAAGGCTGCTCGCTATACCACAAAGGAGGAAACGGAACGAATGGAAAGTCCATCTTATAAATGGTCAAGCTGAGGCCTGCAGAGCCCTCCCCATCACAACCCTCACCGCACCGGCTTGTGACCACCTGTCACCTGCGGGCCCTAAGAGGACACATCCCCAGCCATCTTATTTGCCTTTGTATCCCCAGAACCTAGCCCAGACCTGGCACAGAGCAAACCCCACTCGGACCAGATACAGGAAAAAGGTATGGGGCCTGGGGCAGACCAAACAGGACCTAGAGGTCTAGGGGTTGCGGGGCAGCCCTTCTGCACCGCCCCCGCCCCACGCCCCGGGGCGCTCTCTCTCCACATTCCCAAGGCTCCTTGGGGTTTGGGGGCTGCAGCCCCGGGAAGGATGTCAGGGGCAGGGGGGAGGTGGGAGGAAGCGGGGAGAGCGCTGCCGTGTGCCCCGTGCCTGTGGTGTAATTAGCAGCAGCCTCCCCGCTGAGGCGAGAGCAGCCAGATGGCTCCGTGTGGCGCCAAGATGAAAACATGGAGAGGTTCGAGGGGAATTTCCTGTTTATGACCTCCGCTGCACTGGAGGCTTCACTGTTGGCTGTGAGTGTCACACAGCCACGCAGATGACGGGGGACGGGGAGGGAGACCCACCTTCCCTGCCGTGTCCCCCTGGTCCTATGAGCTCCAAGGGGGATGTATCTGCCTGGAGAGACCAAAGGGCATCTGATAGAAAGTGCAAATCCCAGGCCACACCTTCGCTGTAACCCAGCTTGGGGTCCCCTCTCCAGCTCCTCTGTGGCTCAGGGAAGCTGCCCCAGCCAGACCCCTTCTCTCACTTACACACTCCTGGAGGCTTTACGGCATTTAACACACCTGTAATCACCTGTCGCTGTCTGATGGCTCGTGAAGGGAGCGGCCAGGTTGCCCAGGTGGTTCCTGCCATGTTCCCAGCGCTTAGCACAGGTGCTGGCCCACAACAGGTGCTTGATAAATATTTGATGGCAAATCCCAGCTGTCCCTGTCCACACACGCACCCCTTCCCCCCTTCGCTCACACTGTTTCCCACACCCCACCCTGTCTCAAGGCCGCTCTCCTGCCCCCAGACCCCGTTCAAGGCAGCACAGCCTCTAGCTCCTCCACGAACCCTTCCCTGACGAGCGCAGGCAGGTTACCCTTCCCCCGCTCTGAGTTCCATGGAGCCGAGTTCTGCCAATTTCTCGTACGTTCATTCATTCACTCACGTGACAAAGAGCCACTGGGTTCCAGGTGGGCCACCAGGGTGAAAGAAATGCACCCCGTCCTCTGGCTGCTCAGAATCTGTGGTTGGCCTGCGCCCAGGCCCTCTTGCTGTGTCCCATGCTCCCCCTGCTGCCCCCGTTTCTAAATGGCCCGTCCAACCTCACCGTGTGAGCAGAGCCTTCTGGGCGGAGGCTGTCAAGTGAATGAACAGCACCCCCTGCAGAACCAAGCCCACCAGAAGCTGATCCTCGACCACAGCCGGCAGAGCAACAGCGCTCAACAGACATCCACCACGTGCAGATACGTGCCGGGCGCTTGTCTGCCGGGCCAGGGTGGGATCTGAGGCTGCAGCAGGGATTGCCCGTCCCCCCTGCCCCCAGCACCAGTCAGCCTGGACAGCACCTTCAACCACCAGTGGCCGCTCTGACCCTGACCCACACCATAGACCCTTATAAGGAAGCCCCAAACGGAAACCCCAAGCTGGAGCAGTTTAGGAAGAGGGGCCTGATATCAAGGAAAGGGCCAAGCACAATATGTGAGCGAGGGGGAGAATACACATCCTCTGAGCCCGTGCAACATAAACCCAGAGGTGCTAACAGGTGACAGCTGTCTACACTCGAGCGCTTCCTATGCGCCACCGCACGGCTAAGCACTTCCGTGCACGCTGTCACTTGAAACCCTCAACAGCCAAACCGCAGATCCTACTATCATCACCCCTTTTGCAGAGACCCAGAGAGATGAAGTCCCGCTGTCCATGGTCACGCAGCCACCAGGCCAGGAATCAGATGAGCTATGAAGATCCCCCAAGGTAAAGACCCCACGAGGGGCCCCTGGGCAGTCCGTGCCATGCCACTCCCTTCTAAGGAGGAAGCAGCTTTTCTCCTGGATCGTCAGAACCCAGCTGCAGCCCCCCACCTCTCCACTGGGCCATGAGAGAGAGTGGGTGTGCCGACGGCCCTGCAGCATCCTCGGGGTGCTCTATCCTCTCCCTGTCCCCTCCCCTCCCCCGGATGCGGCTGGTTTGGCCCTGTGTGGGACCCTGGCCGGCTGCCCCCGGGAGCCAGTGCTGAAGCCAGGAGTACTCGCAGCTGTCCCAGATACACATCAGAACCAGAAACAAACATTGTTGCCTAGCAACACCACCTCGCCCCAGCATCCCTGGGCTGAATCATGGGACCAGAGCCACTAGGCACTCTCTGGCCACCATCGCCTGTCCAACCCTTTCATTTCTCAGGCGGGAAGACTGAGGCCCAGAGAGGGGAAGGGTCTTGCTCGGGTTCATTCAGAGAGTTGGGGGCAAGGCTGGGATGGGACCCTAGGTCTTTTGCTACCTGATGTCACACACAGCCAGAGCCCATGTCTTCTCTCTCCTAGACAGTTTCGGCACAGTCCTGGGCACAGGAGATGCTCAATAAATCCTGCGGACTTCAATTCTGAATTCACAACTCAAATGGTCCTTTCACAAACAGCAGTCCCACAGAGTAAGAGGCACCCGATAACCGTTCCCAGTCTTGGACTCGGCCATTGGCTTTCAGGGCTATACCCCAAGGAAATGACCCAGGAGATAAAGAGAAGCATTTGTGCAAAAATGTTCCAACAGCCCCATTTATTACCGCCCAAAACTGGCAACGGAGCATCTGCCCCAAACAGAGAAAGCTTAGCAACGATGAGGGCTGAACGCCCTGGAATGTTACCTTGCCCTTTAAATGGAAAGCAATGACGTGGGCCAGGATGAATCTAGAAAATGGGTAAATGTGGAAAAATATCAATGATAAGGGCAGAATGGAAGAGGCACTCAATGTAATTCTCTGGAAGCATCTACAAGAACACCCTGGAAGGGGTCGTGGACACAGGTGGGTGGCTTAGAGTTTCATGGGTACTCAAGCTCCTACTATGTTTTCTTTGCGTTAGGACTTTCTGACTCCGGAGGTCAAGGCTCCCTGAGTTCAGAATATTCTCTAAAATCTCCAGAAAGAGCAGTGGCCTGCCCGACCTTGGCCCAGAAGCCCGATATGTGTGTGTCCACGTGTTCTCATGTCTGCATCTCTGCTGTGTCTGTGTGCATGTCCACATGTGTTTGTATCTGTGTTTGTGTCAGTGTGCGTGGCCGTGTGTCTATGTGTGTCTGTCTGTGCGCCTGTCCACGTGTATTCATGTCTATATGTGTCCATGCATGTCTGTCTATGTCTGTGCATGTCTATGTGTATCTGTGGGTGTGTGGGTGTGCGCGTTAGGGCCCAGCCCGGGAAGTGAGATCAGGATCCCAGTTCCCCACACCCCATGACTTCTGTTTCCCCCTCAAGGCACTAGGCATGATGCCACTCAACACACCCACCTCCAGGATGGCCAACAGGAGAAGAGGGCCACCCCCCAACCCGAACAGAGATGCAGGAGGCCTCAGGGGCTCGGCCACGCTGGGGTTCTCAACCCTGATTGCACCAGAGTTACCGAGGAGCTCTGAAGAAGCACCAGTACTGGAGGTCTGTTGGTGACCCTGACCGCAGCCCTTGGCCAAGGTTGGCACAGGTTCGGGAGAGAGAGGCCCCGGGCACCCCGAATAGGTTCAGGCCTTCCCCCATCTAAGGACAGAGAAGGGGGCCACCACAGAAGAGGGGGCAGCTCAGCCAGGCAGAAGGAGCACAGAACCTGGAGGTAGACCAACACCCACGACTCATCAGAAGAAGTTCTTAAGCTTCCAGAACGGCAGCTTTGAAGCTGAGCCCTGGGGGTCCCTCGGAGAAGGAAGAGGAAGAGACAGAGGAGGTAGAGGGGAAGGGGAGCAGACAGACAGCACAGCTACCCCCGCACCACCACTGCTCCCTGCGTGTTTCCCATGGGTTTTTAAAAACCTGCATCTTCTGTCTGAACGGCTGTGGGACTAAGGGGAACCGTGTGTCCGGCAGAAAAGGGAGCTTTGTTCTGCGTGGGGAAGCTATCAGATGCCACAGGGAGAGGCCCAAAGAACGGCGGGGACCCAGAGCCCGCAAATGAAGTGTCAATACGATCAAAGGTCTGTGAGGTTATTCACCATCGCCAGCAAGTGGAAACAGCCCAAGGGTCCGTCAACTGGTGACTAAATTGACAAAAGGTGCTCTATCCAGGCAACGGACTATTATTCAGCCACAGAGAGGACCAAAGCCCTGACCCCTGCTCCAACATGCAGGCGCCTCAGAAACACGATGCGAAGTGAAAGCAGCCGGACACAGAAAGCCCCAGAGCGCACGATTCCATCTACGGGAGACGTCCCGAACGGATCAATCCAGAGACAGAGAGCAGAAGAGTGGGTGCCGGGGGCTGGGCTGGGGTCGCGCAGGGATGGCAAGCGGCTGCCAATGAGTGTGGGGATTGCTTTTGTGCAGGAGGTGCTGGAGATGTTCTAACGTTAATCGTGGACGGTTGCACAACTCAGAGTTTACTTAAAAACACAGAATTGGAAAGCATGCCATTTATATCTCAATAAGGCTTTTCCATTGAAAAGAGTTGGTGGGAATTAAATAACACATAGGATGATGATAATTTTTGAAAGCTGGAAATGATGCTTTAGTTTATAGCAGCAGCAGGAAAATGCCGTCGAAGTGATTTTCCACCACTGACAATGTACTAAGCATCGCACATCCGTCACTGTATCTTGAGAACAGGGTTTCAACCTCGTCCACTTCACAGATGGAGAAGCGGTCCAAGAGGAACCAGCGGCCACCGGAGGCCACACGACTAATACAGAACCAGCCGGGATCCACACTCGGGTCTGATGAACTCCAGGCTCTGAGCTCTTCCCCCCAGCCCCACCCTCCAGGCATATTTTCCCACCTAACGTAGGTGAACTCCTGGAATCTCAGAAATCTCAAGAGAAAGCCGTAAGCCAGCACGAAGTGGAGGGGGCCAGGGGAGAAGGGACAGAGCAAAACTCAGGATGGCAGAAGCAGCTCTCACAGATTTACGGCTCCCGGCTGATCTATTAACGCATCACAACAAGGAGGGGTGAACAAATGGGAAATGCTGTGTGCCATTTCAGCAGCAAACCATAGATAAACAAGCACCCGCCAGGCGGCTGCCAGCCGAGGAGCCAGGACCAGGCTTTCTGCGGAGAGATGCAGGCTCCCCAGGCGACCACTCCCTCCCACACCTACGACCTGGGCTGCAGAGACACCAAAGGGTGCACGGATGGGGGCAGCACAGCGCCAGCCCAGCCCCAGGACCCCAGCCGCGTGCAGGCGTGCAGGCTTCGAGGACAGGAGGGCGCACCAAACAGGTGTTCTGAGAGGTAGAGACCCACGTGTGGGTGTCAGGAGTGGGATCTTGCACAGCAGGCTGCTCTGAGACCTCCTCCATCTGGAACTTCTCAAAGGCCCCGCCAGGGCTTAGGTCACCGGCCAGAGCTGCCCCCTCGCCACAGCCCCACTCCTCGAGGGTCAAGGGTCCCAGGAGTCTGAGGCCTTCCTGTCTGGAACCACCCCACCTGACACCCCTGCCTGGGGAGGTGCAGCCAGGCTTTGAAGGATGCCCAAGCACCTCCTCCCTTTCTGCCCACTCTCAGGATCCCTGAAAGCCCCGCTGCCAGACACCTGGTCCGCGGAGCAGGCAAGGACGGCGCACGCGTCTCGTTCAGGAGGCTGTCTCAACCGTGGCGTCACTCTTTCCTAGCTGAGTGACCACACGCAGGTCACCCCACCTCGCTGAGCCTCAGTTCCGCTCAGTTCTGCTCTGCTGAGCAGACGGAAGGCGATCCTGCGCGTGCGCCCCTCGGCCGTGCGTGAAGCGCTGCGTGCGTGTTATTTCAGAGGCCTTCCCCCTCTGAAGGGCACCCGTGCTCCCTTAAAGGTCAATGGCCAAAAGTGCCGTGTGTGTAATCGGATGGCATGCCCCTGGGGGTGTCCACGGGGTCCCATACACTGGCCGGGTCACTGGTCCCCTGGAGGTCAGTTTCCTCAAACCCCAAGCTCTGTCCATCCCCAGACCCAAGGCCCCGCAACCGGGGTTACCTGTCGGTGACGGGTGGCACAGGGAGGGAGTCCTTGGCCCAGGTGACCAGCGGGGGTGGAGAGCCCTGGGCTTCGCAGTCCAGGGTCACCTCGTCACTGGCCTTGGCTGTGACAGTCAGCGGCTTGTCTGCGTCACATGACCCGTTCACAAGGATCCTGGGCTTGGCTGTAGGTAGAATCATGCAGGGGTGTGAACAGAGCAGGGAGTCAGGGGCCGCGGCCCAGAGGGGACCAGCACGGCTCCCCCAGGAAGCCGAGGTGGCACTGCCACCCCAGAGATGCAGAAGGTGGGTGGGCTCTCTTATAACGGCAGAGTGTAGGTTTCAGGGTGGGCTCGGATCCAATGGTTTCCCCTAGTCATACCCCACCCCCCACGTCTACCCCATCCTCCCGCTGGAAGCTCATCTTGCTTTGATGACCCTGACATGGTCCCTCCTGCCCCAGTGTCCCCCTCTTGCTTCTCTCCATCCTGCTTCCCTTCCCTGGGGACATTCTGGCAGGTTCTGTCCTCCCTCTCCTCTCTCTCCCTTATTCTCAGGAATAAACGGGATTAACCATCAGATGATGCCCAGTCTCCCTTTGTGCCAAGGGCCCCAGGGAAACACTGGTTCCAAGCAGTTCAACACACAGGTAATTATTTAATCACAGGTGTGATGGGCACTAAGAAAGGGACATTCCGGAGAGTTCACAGCAAGGTGATTTGACACAGCCTCAGAGATCAGAGAGAACTGAGATCTGACTGACGGGAGAAGTAGGCTGGACCAGGGAAGGGAAGGGCATTCCAACAGAAGGAACTGCACATGCAAAGGCCCTGAGGCAGGACGGATCATTTAAGAAACTGAAAGGAGGCCAAAGGGTCTGGGCACAAAGAGCTGGGGAGAAAGGTGGGCGAAGGGGGCTGCCAAGGTGGGAGGGGGTCCAGTGTAGGGCCCTGGGTCTTTCCAAGCCTTGTTCATGTGACACTTTCCCCCCATCCAGTGGCAAAGGGCTGAGTTGGAACCTCTCTTAGAGCATGCCCACACTACAGGGGACAGTGCTCTGAAGGACAGCTTTGGTCTACATGCCCTTCAGACGTGAGAAATTTAGAGGCAGGGTTGACGAGATGCAAGGAGGATGCAGGTGAGGTCAGACTGTCCATGACCCTGCCTCAGTAGCTGCCAAGCCCCTCTCCCAGGACAGGGGTGGCCCTCACTCACTGTTGACAGAAAGCTGCATCTCCTGGCTGGAGAAGCCCACAGCGTTGGTGGCTGTGCAGACATAGGCCCCTGCATCCTGGGCAGATGGCCGGGCGATGACCAGGGTACCATCCTTGCTCACATTGTAGTGGGGATCCCTGGAGGCCAGGGCATTGGTTTCCTGTGGTAGAGTCACAGGTGACATCAGCAGAGCCCACACCCCACGGCAATTTGCATCATTCCTCTCCCCATGATGCACTGGGCCTACCTCTCTGGTTACCTTTGTGGCAACAGGCTTCACCTACCTTGGTCCAGGTGACGGTAGGGGTGGGCACTCCTGAGGCTACACAGGGGAGAGAGGCTGGAACGCCTTCATTGGTGATATGGTGGGTGGCCGTGGGCTGGATTCTAGGTGGCACTTTTAAAAACAAACCAATTTCATAAACCAAAGTTCATAGCAGCATTATTCACAACAGCCCAAAGGTGGAAACAATCCAAACAGAGGGGATGGATAAACAGAGTGTGGTGTGTTCATATGGAATATTATTCAGCCTTAAAAATGAATAAGCATCTGATACACGTTACAGCATGGAGGAACCTTGAAAATGTCACCCTAAGTGAAATAAGCCAGACACAGAAGGACAAATGCTGTGTGATTCCACTTACACAAGATACCTAGAACAGGCAAATTCATAGAGACAGGAAGCAAAATGGTGGCGGCCAGTGGCTAGGGGAGGGGGAAATGGGGAATTGGTGGGTACAGAGTTTCAGTTTGGGAAGGTGAAAAGGTTCTGGAGATGGACGGTGGTGATGGTTGTGAAACCGTGCCCTACAGGGTTAAAAAAACCCATCCTGAAACTGTGCCCCATGGGGTTAACAGAAATTCCTGGCTTGTCTTACAGCTTGCTAAAAACCCCTCTGCTTGAGCCCCGCCTTCACTTAGCAAGTTCGCTTAATTGTTTTGTTGCAAATTGCAGACCCTCCAAGCTTCATGTAGCCTAAATAATAAGATGTTTGTCTGAGTTGTTTTCCAGGAACTTGGTGTCTAGTTCGAGCTCAAGCCAGCTAAGACTGCTTGGGACCACAGACCCTAAAACTGGGCCTGCACAGGTATCTGGTGAATGACCTTTTGACATCAGAGGGCCAAAGACCCCACCGTCAGATCATGCTAGGCGCCTCCATTTTTGAATATGCATCCCAGGAAGAAGCAAGTAACCCAGATACGCCTGCACAGAACATTAATTACCTCACCTTTTCCCTACCTGCAATCACCTTTCCCCACGCCTAAGACCACCCTGCTTCCTTATCCCATAAATACCCCAAGCCCCCGGCCTCTGGGGAGGTGGACCTGAGGCTTGTTCTCCTGTCTCCTCGCTAGGCTGCCTTGTGAACACATCCTTTCTCCGCTGCAAACCTCGGCGTCTCAGCCCTTTGGCTTGCTGTGCATTGGGCAAACGAACCTGGTGGCACAACAAGGTGAATGCCACTTACGCCACTTCATTTATGCCACTAAACTGTAGGCTTTTAAATGGTTAAAATGGCAAGTTTTATATTATGTATATTTTATCATGATTGTTAAAATTTTTTTATTTTTTGGCCATGCCATGTGGCCTGTGGGGTCTCAGTTCCCCGACCAGGGATCGAACCCGTGCCCCCTGCAGTGGAAGCACAGAGTCTTAACCACTGGACTGCCAGGGAAGTCCCTATTTTATCATGATTTAAAAAAAAAAACAAAAACAATTTTAACAGAAGAAGACAGCCACCACTGCTGTAAATTCATGCCCCAGACATAGGACAGCCTGTGTTTAGGAACCAGCTGTGCCGTTTCTTAACTGTGGGACTTTGGATAAACCACTTAATCTTTTGGTACCCGTATTCCTTGGTCAGCTAAAAAGCTAAATTAACCCTAATTCCCTGCTCACTCTCTGGGGATGGACGGATGAGAAACGGCAGAAAATAGTGTTCACAGGACACAGTGAACTTGAAAACAAGTGCAAAATCTGTCCTGGGCGCCATCCAGAGCTGCAGGCATTAAAACAGGGCGGGAGTGAGGGATGTCTCCAAGAGGAGCAGGGGAGGGGGAAACGGGCATGGAAAAACCAGAACCAGGAGGGAAAGCCAGAGGCCAAGGGCTCTGACGGTAACACTCAGTTCCTTTAGGGTGGGAAATGCCCTTCTGGATTTTCCCAGGTGGCAAAAGCCAGCAAGTCGATTAGCGTTTGTTGAACGGAAATGAAATTAGCCAAGAGAGATGGGCTCGATCTCCACTGCACAGAGGACGCTGTGCGCAGGGTGGGAAGTGAGGGCGTGAGGCTTTCTACAGAGGCAGCCTCTGCTGATCCTGTGACTTGGTGAGTTACCTCCATCCCGGAGCCTCAGCTTCCTTAAAGTCAAAGAAGCTGGAGTCTTTTAAACCCACCTCTTGGAGCAGTTAGGGAAATTAAGTGAAACCTGCACACAACCTCTCAGAGGTCTGGCACATGACACATGCCCAACCTTTGATCGCTCTTATTAATTGGAATTATGAGGAGACAGGACAGCTGGGTTCTAAACCCAGCCTCTTCTGCACCTCAGTTTTCCTCTACAAAATGGGGAATGATGAGTTCTTCCCGCTCATCCCTCGGGGTCTTAATAAAACAAGTGAAACAAACAAACAAAAAGAGGATATTAACATATGCGGTAAATGACAAAACATAACCAGACTTAATTTAAACTTCTTGTTTTACATTAAAAAGAACGGTGGTACCTGGTTGGGTGGGTGAAGGGAAACAGGGACTCTCCAACGCTGTGGGTGGGAAAGTAACTGGACAAAATACACGAAAAGCCCTAAAAATGTGCGATCTCTGTGAGTCAAAACTCAATTCCACAACCCTAGTTTATCCGCGGGAAAGAATTGGTCACGTGGGCACAGGTGGAGCATGAAGATTTTTTTGTTGCCGGACGCGCAGGCTCAGCGGCCATGGCTCACGGGCCCAGCCGCTCCGCGGCATGTGGGATCTTCCCAGACCGGGGCATGAACCCGTGTCCCCCGCATCGGCAGGCAGACTCTCAGCCACTGCGCCACCAGGGAAGCCCAAGCATGAGGATGTTTATCCCCAGGTGTTCATGCTGGTGAGAAACAGGACACTAGGGGACAGGTTAGACACTCCTGGCTCAGCCAAACAGGGGACATGCAGCCTTGAACCACTGCTTCTGAGTATTACTGACAGAAAAGAGTCATAAATATTGTCACAAGAAACACTCAGGTTGCAAGACAGTAATATTACCTGGTTCCAGTTGGTTTCTAACTATTTCTATGTATGTGTACACAAAGGATTTATACCTAATTTATATAAAGAATATATATCATGCAAAAATAATATACAACATATCTAAAGAGTATATATAATGTATATATTATATAAATATATACAGTGTGTGTATACGTACATGTGCAAACTCATGTGTGTATAAAGTATGAAAGATACACACCAAAACGTAAAATTATTCTGGTTCTTCTTAGCTACTGGTATTAAGGGAGGTTGCTTTTTGTTTGGTTGGTTTTGTTTTGGGGTTTGTTTTTTTTTTGGAGGCGGGGGGTTGTCCAATCTCTAAATTTCCTACAGTGAATATGTATTATTTGTGCAATTTGTTTAAACAGAGATGTTCAAGGTCAAGCTCCCCCCGGGTGCCCTCCCCCATCACATCCTGCCCCCACCACCCCGGGACTCACCCTGGACAACCAGCTGCACGTCCCTGTGCTGAGAGCCGGCCGTGTTGCTGACCAAACAGGTGTACCTCCCTGCATCCTCCAACAGCGCCTGGTCAAGGTGGAGACTGCCATCTGCTCGGACAGAATGCTGGCTGCCCGGTGGGAGCTGGTGAGGGCGAGGAAGCACCAGCTTGGGCCGAGGGCCAGCTGAGAGAGAGCACCCAGAAACCTCACCGCCCACCAGGCCAGCAGGGAGCAGCCTGGCCCAGGAGGCCAGGGGTTTGGAGAGGGTGGGGGAATCTGGGGGGGGTGGTGATGCTCCTACCCCTTCCCTGATATTCATCCACCCCCCCACAGACCCTCAGGGCCAGGTGGGCCCGACCCCCGGGCCCCCGCTGACCCCACTCTCCCAGGGCCAACTGGGCCAGGGCAAGACACCTGACCCGAGGGGACTGATGGGAGCCTCTCCCAGGAGTGCAGGGTTGGAGCCAGAGCCTTTACGAAGTCGGGGCTGAAGCTCCAAGGCCCTTGCACGCTGAGGCCACAGAGAGGAAGGACAGCCCGTCTGTGGGGAGAGAACAGAGCCATGCAGAGCGGAGCAGAGGTGTGGCCGCATCGGATGTGGTCCCAGGGAGAGAAGCAGAGAAAGCCACTCCTGATGGGTGCCCACGTCTGTCCCCATCAGGACCGGGGTGGGGCAGGTGGCGCTGGTCCAGAATGGGGCCTGGGGCAACCTCTATAAAGATGTCCAGCCGGTCCATCCTTGGTGAGGGGCCCCAAAACCTTTCCACCAGGCCTGAGCCCGCTTTAAGCCTCCCCGTCCCTGTTCCACGAACCCAACCGCACATTCTGCACTCCGGTTCCGGGAGAGGCTCCTGGGCTGTCTCGGTACCAGGCCCTTCCAGGCTGAGTGAGCTCGAGGGGGGCTCTGCTCCTCGCACTCGGCAGCTGGGCAGGCGCAGGTCCACCCAGTACTCCCACTGAACTAAACGAGCTCTGCGTCTCCAGCCACTTCCTGTCCTGGTGTGGACAAGGCCCAGGGCCACCCCTCCCCACGTGCCCATCGGAGTCTACTGAGGAAGGCTCCTCACTGCCCCAGCCTACGTGCCCAGGCACAGTCCTCCTCGGGGTCACATCTAATCACACAGGCTTTGCCTCGGCAAAGCCTCCCTGCTCCGGGAGCTGGACCCTGTCTGCACCGCATCAGGGACCGGAACAACAGGCCCGGGACCAGGGCAGCCACCGGGTCACATAGTCACTGCCTCTCCGGGTGTCCAGCGTCTGCTGTCTGCTGGGACAAGGGCACCTCTTTTATAGCTTCCAGGACACAAGGACCGCGGGATGTCTGAGGATAGGCCAGAAGGATGGAGGAAAAGGGAGAGGCGAAGGAGTGAATGGCAGAAAGGAAATAGAGGGAAATAAAGAAAACCACATGGATGGGAATGGGCGAAGCAGCCCCTGTGCAGCCAGCAGTGTGCCAGGGAGCCAGGCAGATGCTCAGCCGCTCAGGTCACGTCTCTGCCCTGGAGTCATCCGAACGGGGGTGGCGAATGCATTGCGTCTGTGCCCCCGCCCACAGCACTAACGGTGCACAAGCTCCTCTGGCCAAGGACTCTAGAGGGGGAAGGATGCTATCAGTGCGTTATCAGAGAAGGTTCTGGAAAGAAGCAGGAAGGAAGAGGACATTCCAAAACAGGGGAACCGCAAGCAGAGACCGAGGTGTGAACATGACAGCGCCCTCCTCCCCTGCACCCAGAGGGGCCCTGCACTCACGGGCTGGCCGGCCTTGAGCCAGCGCCTCTCGGGGCGGGGCCTCCCAGCCAGGATGATGCAGGGCAGGGACACGGGCTGCCCCTCCAGCACCCGGACGGTGGAGGCACTGCTGGCGATCTGTGGAGGTGCTATCGGGAGAGGAGACAGTGTGGGTACACGAGACTCCTGTGGGTGGGCATCCGGGGGACAGAGGCCTCCACTCCCCACTGTCTCCTCCCCAGGGAACCAGTGGAAGCATCAGGATTGGGGACCCTAAAGGGTCAAAGGACACACTTCTTGGGGCACACTGCCCAGGAAGTAGGGGTCCAGATGCTCCTCCTGGAGAACCTGGCTGTGGACACACCTGTCCCAAAGGATGGGTAGTCATGGGGGGGTGTCTCTGAGGGTGCCTGGTGTCCCCCCCAAACCCTCCTCTCCAGATCCACCAGCGAACCATGGCCAGTCACAAGGAGGTGGGCCTCTGCCTGGACCTTCCCGAAGACATTTTGAGCTTCACAGATATACGGGGCCTGGTCTTCAGGAATCACACCTGAGGGGCAGGAAAGAGGCAGGCCTGACTGTCAGAGCACATCACGGCTCCAGCCCCCACAGGCTCCAGCTCCCCAGGCGCAGACGCGCCCTTGTCACAGTCTGGCCCTGCGGGGGTTAGGTAGGAGGGCTGGGCTGGCAGGGAGGAGAGGGCTGGGGGATACAGCCAGTCCTTGGAAGGGTGAGAAGGCCTCGGCTTGTCCATGGGTAGCATGGGGATAACTTATCAATAACTGCACACTGTAGTGTGACTGGGAGGGGTCCATAGATAATGCAAATACAGCGCTCAGCACCGGCCTGGCACACAGTAAATAGGAGCTGTAGCAGTGACGATGATGATGGTGGTGAGGACGATGGTGGTGATGGTGAGGATGGTGGTGATGGTGAGGATGGTGATGGTGATGGTGGTGATGGTGAGGATGGTGGTGATGATGGTGGTGATGGTGGTGATGGTAATGATGCTGATGGTGAGGATGGTGGTGATGGTGAGGATGGTGAGGATGGTGATGGTGATGGTGGTGGTGGTGGTGATGGTGGTGATGATGATGGTGATGGCGGTGATGGTGAGGATGGTGAGGATGATGGTTACCACATATGACACTATGTGTCAGGAACTGTGCTAAGGGATTTACGTGTATTATTCACGCAATAGCTCCTTAAGGTGACCTGTTAGTAAACCCAGGTGGTACGTATTGTCATTATCAGTGCAGAGTAGTGGGATGACGTGACCAGAGTCACCCAACTGAAATATGACCCTGCAACAGCCTGACCTATGGTCAGCACTGGGGGTCAGGGCCCTGCTCCCGGCCACCCAGTCTGGGGGCTGAGGGTGTCGGAAGCCATTCTGTCTCCCCAGCCCACTCTCCCTCAGCCCCAATCTCTTACTTTCAAAGAACAGCAGTCCTGAATCGGGCCGCCCAGTCGTGCTGCCCCGCCCGGGCCCCAGTGGCTGGCCATCTCCACGGCGCCAGGTGACCATAGGGGATGGGCGGCCCGTGGCCCGGCACGCCAGGAGGGCGCTCCTCCCCAGTTCCACGGTGACATCCTGGGGCAGCTCTGTCAGCTGGGGCGCATCTGCAGGGAGGTGAGCGGTCAGCCTCACCCAGCCCCCAGGGCACTGTTTGGAGGCCTCTGCCTCCCCTCCGGTCGCTGGGGGCGTTTCCCTCTTCCAGCCGCGCCCTCATGAACCTGACGCATATCCAGGGCTCCCGGGGCCAACTTAAGTTTGGCAGGTCCACCCTGAAGAGCTCCTGAGGATGAGGAGGAGAGCAAGTGCCCTTTGGCAGGGTGAAGTCCTCACACCCTATGTGGGGTCTCAGGGACCCCACTTTGCCCAGCCATACGGGGGAGCAACATTCCTGCTTCTGCTCTTTGCACCTCCTGGGAAGCCCACCTCAGAGGGGCTGCAAGTCACCCTCCGCCCCAGGAGCCCCACCAGCTCTGCGCGTCACCTCCCTTGCCCTCTTCCTGGGCCACGGGGGCTTCCTTTCACGGGTCTCCTAGACTCCGGCAACCATTTCCCAAAGAGCCAACTTCGTGGGGAGGTTCTAGCTCATCTTTACCATGCTTCATCCTTCTCTGCTGTTGAACATGTTGTAAGAAGCACATAAATCTCTACCACAACATCAAAAGAAGCCTATAAAGAACTTGATCTTAAAAAAAAAAAAAAGAACTTGATCTTATACTTTATGGTCCAAATGGGACACTTAAGAGTGAAAAGAGCCATATTAATAATTACACCAGGATAACAGATGCAAACAAGGGCAGCCCTGCTCACCTGAGTTATAAAACATCCAAGCAAAAAAAAAAAAAAAAAAAAAAAAATCCAAGCAACACACGACGATTTATTTCTTTAACTTTTGCTCCACACACTCTAAATCCCGTGACCTTCCACAAGGTAACCACTGTTAATGGTTTGTAGTGTTTCTTCCAAACTTTTTTTCTAAGCATTGTCTTACTTTTATGATGGGGGGGGGGGCGGGCATGGAAATAGGTTATTTCCCAAAACAGAAGCTCATGATCCTTTCCACCTTTCTGCTGGCCAGAAGCAGGTCCAACACCAGACAGGTCCAGGCCCTGTTCCCTGTGGCTTCTGGGCACTGTCCTCAGGTCCCTGTCCCCAGACCCGCAAACAGGAAGGTCCCCGGCCTGTTTTGAACCCATTGCGTCCAGCATTGTGGAAAAACCTCCACCTCTTTTGTTCTTGCTGTCTCTCCCCAGAAATCTCCCCCATCCGTCCAAATCATGACATCAAATTTCCCTCTTGGCCTCAGGGAGTAGGGAAGTTCCAGGGAGATAGAAGCACAACTTGGAAAATCACTGCAAGGAGGAAGACAGTCTTGGACCCAACCTCAGACACCACCCGCGAGTTGCTTTTCTTCCTCATTTGGGGCCTGGCAGCTGCCTCGGCTCAGAATCCAAGAAAGCCTTCCATCCAGGTGCCTCAGATGGCGTCACTGGTCCTGCAGAGCCTTGGCCCTGGGGGCAGAGCTTTGCTATTCCCCTCTTCCCATCCTGAGCAGAGCCGTGGCTCAGCTCCAGGGCCAGGTACCCCCAGAGCCTGCCTCCCCGGCTCTGCCCAGCCCACGGCAGGGCACAGCTCAAACCTCCCTCCTCCAGGCAGGCCTCGTCCTGAATTCCTCCCCTGAGAGAGGACAGCTGACTTATAATAGTAAGCAAATAACATGTACAAAGGGTAGCATTTGGAAAACCTTCTAAGTGACAGGCATGGTGATGGTGCTTTTAGAGTTCATTCATGGCCTCAATAAACTCATGAAGTGGGTATTTTCACAACCCCATTTTACAGATGGGGAAACTGAGGATCAGAGAGATTAAGGAACCTGCCCCAGGTGCAGCTCAAAGTCAGTGGCAGAGCTGGGATCAGAGCCCAGGTCTGGCTGCTGCTAAGACCCAGGCTCTCAGCCACCGCACCCCCGTACCCCCTAGTACTCAGGGGTAACCTGGCATCTCTTCCATCTTTTTTCAGAGGTGAATCCCGACTTACATCCTGCCCAGAAAACTGTGACTCCGTCTCCTGTGCAGCCATCCCCCTGCTCCTCATTGAAGTCCCCCAAATAAGGCGGGACCTCAGAACCCTGTACACCAGAGCTGAAGGTGCTCTGGTCTCCTCATTGTGCAGATGGGAGAATGAAACCCGAGGGAGGGGCGGGGCGGGGGCGGGGCGGGGGCGGGGCGGGGCCCACCCTGATTCTGTGGGGACGGGTTCCCAGCCCCATGCCCTTTCCAGGGTCCCATCGCGAGGCTCAGCCGCCTCTGCTTTCAGGCTCGAAGACCCCTCCTCACAGACTCAGGTGACCTTCGGCAGGGAGGGCTCGTGAGCTGGCCTCACAGCCACCGGATTTCCCCGTGCACAGCCCTTTCTGCCTTGACCTTGGGCAGGTTTCCGGGTCAGGAGCTGCAAGTGCCCAGAGACAGCCAGACATCACAGCAGCTGCCGCGCCCCCTGGAGAGGCACAGGTCTCATCACCTGATAGCTGCAGCGCTTTTGCGGGGACGCAGCTCTGTGCGGGGGAACCGGGAACACCACAGAAGACAGAAAAGCCCCACCAAGGATGCCAGCCACCAGGCTGGGATGGGGCAGGACAGGAGGGTGTGGCCAAAGGGGAGACTTCGTCTAACAGCACTGCTGGGCCACTCCCTCCACCCCCAGGGATTTCCCAGCAAAGTGAAATTGACAGAGGTGATGCCGTCCCTTCCTCTTACTTGGGCCCCAGGGCAAGGGACGCCAGCCTGAAAGCCTGAAGCCTGGGCAGGGCCCCCCTGCTGCCCCTGCCCCACTGGACACCCGCGGATGAACCCCTTCACCATTCTGAGCCTCAGTTCCCCATCCAGAAAGAGGTAACCGTTTTTACCCTGACTCCAGTATCTTAAAGTTCCAGGACTCTTTATTTGTCTGGAGACCCTGTAGCCCCCCAGCCTCCTCCACCATCCCCCCAGTTCCTGTGGCTCAGAGCCCTGGGGCAGAGCTGGAGGGGATGCACCAGCTCAGGAAGGAGAGCTCCAATCAGTCCTGACTCAATTCGGTCAGAAGAGGGACGGCGTCTCAGGCCCAAAGTCTGTGTAGCCGGGCAGGGTGGCCACGGGAGAGGCTGGCCTCAGGCCCTGCCCTGCATTTAGAGGGAATTCCAGGGCATCTGTGAATGAGACAACGCTGGGGATGGCCTCCACATCCACCTCCCGGGAAGACTCCTTTCCCCATAGAAAGATCGTTCAGTCGAGCCTGGAGCCATAGGCCCATTGGCCAGGGCTGCAGGATGACTTTACTCCCTAAATATAAATATATATATATATATTTTTTTTTTTTTTTTTTTTTTTTTTCGGTACGCAGGCCTCTCACTGTTGGGGCCTCTCCCGTTGCGGAGCACAGGCTCCGGACACGCAGGGTCAGCGGCCATGGCTCGTGGGCCCAGCCGCTCCGCGGCATGTGGGATCTTCCCGGACCGGGGCACGAACCCGTGTCCCCTGCATCGGCAGGCGAACTCTCAACCACGGCGCCACCAGGGAAGCCCCCTAAAAAAATATTTTAACTGATATTTTATGACTGTTTATAAAGACAAACACAATCCGGATTCGTTTTTAATCTATTTATTATTCTTCACTTTTTTCTTCTGATGGCAATAAAATCAGAGCCCTGTCCAGCAGCCCTAAAAGTATCACAGGCTCTGGGCCCTTGCCTGTTGTGCCTGATAGAGAAGCCACCCAGATACTGACCACACTGGCCACAGAGCCCAGCTCTGCTTCTCTCCTGCTCCCCCAGGCTAGCCAGAGGGTCTTTGCTCCCACAAAAACACACCCCCAGCTCCCCTGCTCACTCACCCAGCAATCAGGGGCTTCCGAGTTGGGAATAAGAAGCAGAGACTAAAATGAGAGGATAGAAAGAGGGCTGAGTGAACACCCATTTAGAGAGAAATCCAGCAGGGCAAAGGGAGCTTAGCTCAGGGCAGTTTTGAAGTAATAGAAAGAGTGGGACTTCCCTGGCAGTCCAGTGGTTAAGACTCAGTCTGTACTTCCACTGAAGGGGGCATGGGCTCGATCCCTGGTCAGGGAACTAAGATCCCGAACGCCGAGGGGCGTGACCAAAAAAAAAAAAAGAAAGTAATAGAGCACTGAGCTCCAGGAGCGGGTGCCGACCGTGGAGGCCAGTCACCAGCCGTGTGATAATCACTCCGCCTCACTCTGCCTCGCCAGGCCCTTGTCAGCCTGGTCCAGCCCACAGGCCGTGTACTGATTAGGTATTCTGTTCAAGCCCTGAGGGAAGCACATTATCTCATTAAATCTCTCAAGGACCTTGTGAACAGCCGCTATCAGTATCATCCCCATTTTACAGATGATGAAAGTGAGGCTCAGAAAGGTGAATAACTTGGCCAGACAAGCAGCAAGACCAGGACATTGATCCAGGACTCTTATCAGCCACATGCCAGGTCCAGAGGGGATGCAATATCACCTCGCAGGCTCGGTCCACAAACAAGGCACCTGCTGGCAGTACAGGAGGAGGCTGCCGTCCTCCCTGTGCCCCAAATACCACCAGGAAGCCAGTTCCCAGCTGAACAGCAGGAAGTGGGCACAGCGCCCACGCGTTCTCAGCCCTGGCAGGCTCTGCCAGCCTGGCCAGGAAGGCTGCAACACAGCTGCCACCCAGATGGGCAGGAAATTGAATTTCCCACCACTGCTGCCAGGCCAGCTCGCCCCAGACACACAGGTGTTGGGCCACTGTCCATGCTGTCCCTGACCTCAAGGCCAGAGGCCACCAGTGGCCCCGTGCCCCAGAAGCCTGCCTCTGGGATGCCAGCCATCCCCCGCCCTGCCACCTCTCACCTGGGGAAATGGCCCCAAGACCAACGGCTAACAGGTGAAGGAACAGGCATGTCAGCCTGGGCCCCAAAGACATAAGGTTTTGCTAGACAGAAATTAGACACAGAGCAAAGGATGACTGCTTGTAACAATGCCAAGGGCAGCCCTCCCTGGAGCGCCCTCTCTGCTCACCCAGAACCTACTGACTAATCACAGTGACAGTGACATTTTTCAGAGCCCATTGTGTCCGAGGCCTTTCTTATCTCTCACTCACACAACATCCAGAAATATCCTGCAGGTGAGGAGCCCGAGGCTCACAGTGGGGAAGCAACATCCAAGCCCTCCTTGCTGGGAGCATCAGAATCAAGTCCAGGGGCTAAAGGCCCGGACCCTGGGTTCAGATCTCAGCTCTGCCACTCACCAGCTGTGTGACTTTGGGCAAGGCACTTAACCTCTCTGTGCCTCGTTTTCTCCATCTATAAAAGGGATAATGTAGAGCCCATCTCAAAAGGTTGTTATAAGGATTATATGCTAGTACATGAAATGTGCTTAGAGCTGGCCCGGCATGTGGCAGATTTCATGGAAGACTTATTATATTTTTATTATCAGGCTCTAGGCCTGTGGCTTTCCATACCCACCCCACCTCAGCCACACAGTGCACTCTAGATAGGAAAGTCTGAGCACATCAGTCTCCTCCTTAGAAACCTCTTACCGCCTCCACGGAACAAAGCCCAAACTCCACCAGCCTCCCTAGCCCAAGGCCGGAAGTGACCCACAACTGGGCAGCTGCCCCAGCATCCCCTCCCCACCCTCTCTATGCCTCACTCGCTGCCCTACTCCTCTTGCCACGGGGAGATCGGCACACGCTGTTCCCTCTGCTTGGAACACTGTTCCCTCTGCCTGGAACACTGTTCCCCAGCTCGTCACCTGACTGTTTCTGGGTTCAGCTTAGACATCACCTCCTCCAAGAAGCCTTCCCGGCCTCCACTGTTGGCTTAGCCCCCTTCTCTGGGCACAGGACCCAAGGATGCCACTTCCAAATTCTCAGTACACTGAGTATTCTAACGGTCTGTTTACCATCTCTCTTCTGGACACCAACAACAACACAAAGGCAGATGCCGTTGTAGCCCCAACACAGGGTCTGGGGCACAGGGCCTGGCTACAAGGTGACCACATGTTGGAGGAACAGATGATGGAACAGATGGGGAGGATCCCCAAGCCTGAGTTGGCCAGACCCTCCCAACTGAGCCTCACTGCACTTCCCTAGAACTCCCAGCACCTGTCTTTCCCGTCATGGCCACAGTCAACCCTCAGAGTACAATCTGCCCCGGCTCAGCACACCAAGGGGCTGTGCCCACAACTTCCGAGCAATTCCCAGTGCCCAGGATCCAGGCCTGGAACTTAGACATCATGACAATCACAGCCAAGGCCATGTACCAGCCACAGAAGGATTCAAACCTCCCATCTGTAAAAAGGGGATAATAGCTTCTCCTTTTATTAAGCACTTACAATGGGCCAAACCCTGTGCTAAGCATTGTGTATCTGATTTCACTGAAGCCTCACAGCCACCCAACAAAGGAAGTAGTGTGGTCAGCTCCATTTTACAGATGGGGAAACTGAGGGTCAATGATTTGACCAAAGCACATAGATGGTAAGTGATGAAGACGAGACTGGAACTCAGGTCTCAGGGATGACGACACCCATGCTAGAACCAAACTATCTCTGTGATGGGCGGTGACCCCTGCCTCTTGGGATTCTCACACTTGAGTGGTCCCTTCCACTCACCACATACCAGTGTTGGTCTGTGTGACCAACAGAATGTAGCAGAAGTGATGGTATGTCACTTCCAAGACTGCGACTGGTTATAAAGACTGCAGCTTCCACCTTGGATGTCATCTCTATCTCTATCCCTCTTGACTCACTTTCTCTGGGAAAACCCATGTCACAAGAAGCCTTCTGGAGAAGCCTATCTGGGTAAGGAACAGAGGCCTCCTGCCAACAGCCACATGAGTGAACTTAGGGTAGATTCTCCAGCCCCAGTCAAGCCTTCAGATGACCACATCCCCGGCCAAGGTATTACCTGCCATCCCATGAGAGACCTGGAGCTAGAACCACCCAGCAAAGCCACTCCCAGAATCACAGAACCATGAGACAATAGATGCTTATTGTTTGAAGCCACATAGTTTTAAGGCAATTCGTTACACAGCAAGAGGTAACACATACACCATCTCCCTCTAAAATCCCCATCCCACGCGCTCTGGATCCAAACGATGCAAACTCCCCACTGGCAGGCTACGTGGTACCACTCTCTCCTCCCTGCTCAGAGATAGGGCAGGTGGTGGGGGACGGGGAAGGGGGAAGGCAGGAGGGGCAGGGCAAGTGGGGACAAGGTGTACACTCACGTCCAACCTCCAGCCGGATTTCTGCAGAGGCATCGCCCAACTCATTGACAGCTCGGCAGGTATAGACGCCAGCGTCCCTCTCCCGAGCCACCGGGATTCGCAGCATCCCAGAGCTGGGGCCCTCAGAGGCCAGAATCATTTCAAGACCCTCTGGACCAAAGATGAGAAAACATCAGGCAGGTACCCATGGTTACCACAGGAGGCCAGGGGATCAGGCTGCCTTCCTGACCCTGGGTTCCTGCAGCTCCACAAAGCAGGGACCTCGGAGGGGTGTGGGTGAGGGAAGGATTTCCCCCCAGAATCAGGACCCCTATTGTTTAATGAGTACAGATTTTTAGTTTTGGATGGTGGTGACGGCTGTACAACAATGTAAATATACTTAGTGCTACTGAACTGTAGACCTAAAAATGGCTAAGACGGTAAATGTTACGTTAGGCGAATTTTATCACAATTTTAAAGTCAGCACCCTTGGGTCCAGCTCCCTGAGCCCCTTTGTTGACCACGAGTGAGTCTCAGCCTGTTCCCCCGAATGCGACAGGCTCATCACCCAAGAACTCCTTGCCTGGCCTCCCTCCTGGATCCCCACCCTCTGCTCAGGTGCAGACGGAGGCTCGGATCAGCTCTGGGAGGAGCCCAGGGTCACGGAGATGACCAGTCGCCCCCCCAGTTCCGCCTCTTTGAGGCCTTATTCTCATTTCCCTCGTGCACTGTTCCCCCACCCCAACTCCAGGCCTCCCCCTCCTGAGGCCTGAGGGACCACGCTGAGTCTGAACTGTTTTTACAACTTAATATTTTACACTTAGAATTGTGCTACATACATATACATAACACAAAATGTTACCATTTAAAGCATTCTGAGTGTCCCATTCAGTGGCATTGAGTACATTCACATTGTCATGCAACTGTTCCCACCACCCATCCACAAAACTTTTTCATCTTCTTAAACTGAAACCCTACTTATTAAACACTAACTCCCCATTTCCCCGTCCCCCAGCCCCTGGCAACCACCATTCTCCTTTCGGTCTCTATAAATTTGCATATTCTAGGCATCTCATAGATGAGATTCCACTCAAATAACTGGAATCATTTAATACTTGTCCTTCTGTGTCTGGTTTATTTCACTTAGCATAATGTTTTCTAGGTTCATCTGTGTTGTGTCAAAACGTCATTGCTAAAAAAAAAAAAAAAAAGTCATTGCTTTTTTCCAAATTAAGAAAAAATTTTTTTCTTTTACTTTTTTACTACTTAAATACACCATACTAGAGCAAATGTCTCTGAAAATATCATAAATAAAAGATTTTTTTCTCCATTCGGCAAATTAGAAGTAGGGGGAAATTTCTACACAGCAGCTGCTATGAGCCTGATTTTTTTTCCTTTTGTTTTTGTTTCTTTTCATTCTTTTTTTTTTTCTCTGCCATAGGAGTCAAATTAAGAAAAAATTTAATTTAATTTTAAATAAAACTCATAAAATGTACTATCGTGACCATTTTTAAGCAGTAACTGTATTCTCATCATTGTACGGCTTGAATGTCATTCTCTTTTAAGGCTGAGCACCATTCCATTGAGAGATCCCCCCTTTATGAAGGGGCTCCCAGGCTGGGCTGGTAGAGCTCTCAGCCACCACAGGCAGTGACCTGAGCACAGAGTGAGGAGTCCTGAGGCCTCTGCCACCGCTAGCTGGTGACCGTGGACAAAATGCTCAAACTCTGAGCTAACTCTGCCTGTCAATGTCAAGGTGAGGCTCTGACAAGATCACAGACAGGTGCTGCAAAGGCTGGAGTGCATCCAGGTGGGAGGTGCCTGTGCGTGAGAAGGAGCCCAGTGTTCTGCCCCTGGAAAGTCTGAGGCAGGAGCCCCAGGACCCAGGTCCACTGGTGTGGGCGCAAGAGCAGCTCCTGTTCAAACTCCGGCTCAACGTCTGGCGCAGACAAAACCCTCTACACTCGTTAACTCAGGAGAGCCTCAGAACAGCCCTCTTAACGTTACTGCTAGCTCTCAGATAACCACATCGCCATCGTCACCATCATTAAGAACACCGAGCCCTGCCCGTGCGCCAGGCTCGTGGTAAGCAATTTGCACATGTGGACTCATTTAATCCTCATCCAACCACCTATCTTTGACTTTCCAGCTAAGGAAGCAGGCTCAGAGATACCAAGTCACTTGTCTGAGGTCACCCAGGGGAGCCAGAATTCAAGTCGAGGTCTATTCTAGATCCTTCTCCTAACCACGGAGCCAACCTGCATTAGCTGCGTGGACGCTGGCCTGGGGATGGGAGTGGGGCTGCCAGAAACGGTCCTCTCTCTCCAGACACCCCATTCGGAGTGCCCCCCACGACCGTCCTGGAAAGCTGACCCTCCAGAGCCCCAGTGGGATCGCCCACGGGCCGCTCCCCCCACCCAGTGTACCTCGATACCAGATGACCCGGGGCGGAGGCACCCCGGACGCCTCACACGCCAGCACAGCCTCCTCCCCGACGGCGGCCAGCACCACAGCATTCGTGGCCGAGACGGACGGTGGGTCTGTGTGGGGAGCAGACGGGGAATTGGGGACCAACCCACAGACTCCCTGGAGAGAGAATGCAGCTGGGGGAGGGGCGGCGGGGACAAGGTGGGGCTGAGCACCTGCCTTCTCCCCAACCCCCACCAACCGGGACAGTCACCCCAGAAAGATGTAGCCTCCGCTGGTTTCTACAAAGCCAGTTACTACCGGGACCAACCCCGCTTTTGTTCCTCATTGATCTTGAGATAAAAGCCGAAATCCTACAAGGTTCTTAAAGGCCCTACAGGGGCTGCCTGCCCCTCCCCCGCCCCCTCACTCCAGCCAGCCTCCTTGCAGCCCCTCGGGCAGCCGAGACTCATTCCCACCTCCAGGCTTTTGCCCCACCCGATCCCTCTGCTTGGAACGCTGTTCCCATTCCCATCTGCGGCAAGGGTCTGGTCCTGTGTGTACCAGCCGTTCCCCTCTCTGCCCAGGGGCACGTCACTCCATCACACCACCCTGCTCTGCGCTCCTTCTAGTATCTTCACCATCTGAAAGTACCTTATTTATCTGTTTGCATGTTTGCTTTGTGCCTCCCCATTAGAATATAAGCTCCACCTGGATGGAGACCCTGTGTTCACTGCTGTAGCCCCAGTGCCTGCCACAAAGTAGATGCTCAGTAAGTATCTGGGGATGGGAGGGAGTGAGGGAGGATGGGCTGGAGATCCTTCTCCTGCAGATACCCTTGACCCGAGTACCTGCATAGTAGAGGGTGACCGTCTTCTCGTCTGTGCCAATGTCATTAGCAGCCTGGCAGCTGTAATTCCCAGCATCCTCTGGGGCCACTCCCTGAATGATCAGGGTTCCCTGGGCATCCACGCGGACTCTGGAGTCGTGCCATGAAACGTGTTCAACAGCAAGAGGCTGGTTAGGTCGGGTCACATGGGGTTGCCCCAGTCCTTATTAATAACAAATTAACTAACGACATCACTGGTGACACCGTTCTACACTGACCGCTTGCTCTGTGCCAGGCTGTGTGTTCAGCACTTTACGTATGTTCTTTTTTCATTCGTGGGGCTCAGAAAAGTATGGTGACTTGCCCAAGGTCACACAGCCTGAATGGCAGAGGCAGAATTCAAGTACAGGTCTGTTGGATTCTGCAGCTGTAGCTCCTGACCCCTGAGCCCACACTGTTACGTTTCCCAAGTGATGTGTCTCCTCAGCCTCAAATCAGCCCAGGAAGAATGCAGGGCAAATGCTACTCCCCCATTTATATTAATAGTTAAGAAGACTGAGGCTCAGAGAGCTCCCCTGGGAGTCCACCTGTTCCCAGTCCCAGACCTCCAAGCCCTGAGCCCTCACCTGCTGTCCTCTTGCAGAGCATGACCCTCATGGCTCCAGGAAATGTGGGGTGCAGGGTACCCAGAGGCCGAGCAGCGGACCCTCATCTCCATGCCCTGGGAAAAGCGCTGTGACCTGGCGTGGATGCTGACCTGTGGGGCCTCTGCAGTTCAGAGAGTGGACAGGTGGGGAGGAGTTTGTCAGAGCACTTGTGCTGTCCCAGGCACCCAGCCCTGGGCCCCCGGCCCCTCCCGGCAGCCACAGCCAGTGTAGACAAAGGAAGTAGAGGTCCCAAGGGGCCTGCATCCTTGGGAGGGGCTTGCTGGGGAACTGGGGAGTGTTGCCAGGCAGCCTCCCAGGCACATCTGCAGGCCACACGGGGACCTGAATTCCCAGTACCCCCCCCCAGTGGGAGCCCTGAGCTCCCTGGATTTCTGCTGTGAGCTGAGCACTTTGAAGAGGCTTAGGGAGTTGTCGAGATGCCAGGGCTGGAGACCTGAGTGGACCTCAAGGTCTGCCCAAGTATTGGCTGCAAACGTAGGTTCTATCCTGGCCCTCGGAAAGCTCACAGCGCAGCAGACTCGTCAGGCTCAAACAGACGTCGTGGGCCATCTCATCTAGACATGGCAAACACGCCCCTCCCATACCAGTGGTCTAGATACGGCCTCAAAATCCTTCTCAACACACTCTAGGCAGTCAATCAAAAGTCACTAGCATAAGGGAGAAAACTTGTTCCAACACACTCACTTTTACACTTGGGGAGATAGCACCCCAGGGAGGAGGATCTGTCTAAATCCTGGGTGGACCTAAATCCTAGGTTCGTATCTAATCCAGGCACCAGCACTCCCGACGTGGGTTCTTCCCACTGCCTCCTCCACCCCCATCTGGGCGGCGCTACCCAACCCCTGCCGAGCATGTCTGATCTCTGGGCTTTCGGAAGTTTCCACTGTTCCATCTCTCTGTCCTGCATATTGAGAGGGGTAGGTAATGGAGGTGTTCAATGGCAGGCGAAGAGGACAGGACTCAAGGAAATTGGCTTGGTCGACAGCAGTAGAAATTTAGGTCAGATATGAGGATGAACTTCCCAACAGTGAGAACCACTACACTTAGGCTGGAAGGCTACAGAATCCTCTTCCTCTGAAGGTTGAGAAAACACTGAGGGGGCTGACATTGCCCGCCAGAGGTGATGTCTGGGCAGAGGGATGGATTGATGGACTTTGGAGGGAAATGCTAGGTATTGTGTTGAATTGGGAGGACGGCAGCCTCACCTCGCACCAGGAGCCAGACGGACGCTCTCGTGACCCCGTTGGAGTTGCTGGCCATGCACTGGTACCGCCCGCCGTCACTGGGGGTGATGTCCCTGACCTCCAGGGACAGGTTGGCCAACTGGGTGACTCTGCCCGTCGAGGCCGACAGGACTCGCCAGTCCCGGACCCACGTCAGGTTGTAGGGGGCCTCGCCCAGGACCCGGCAGGACAGGATGGCGGTCTCTCCAGAGGACACGGTCACGTTGGGGACAGGGACCACCTGCGGCGGGGGGTCTGCAGGAACAGGAGTACAGGAGGCACTGAGGGGTTGACACAGGGAGGGGGCCATCCTGCATGCCCTGGTGGTGTCCAGACCCCGGAGCCCACCGCATTCCTCAGGACACATCAGCCAGCAGAGCAGTTCACCAGCATCTGCTCACCATGCCCGGACAGCGCCACCACACGGCCATCACACACCAGTCGAGGAGGCTGCGTGCGTGCGTGCGTGCGTGCGTGCATGCGTGCGTGCGCGTGCGTGTGTGTGCGCTCGCGCACGCGCACGCACATGTGCACGCACGCGCGCGCGCCTACCTTCCACACAACGCCCAACTGCAATATTTAGCAAGAGCTACACCACTCTTCACACCCTTTGAACCAATAATTCTGCCCTGGGGGATAAAGCCTCGGAAATCACCCTCAAGAGGGAAGGAGTAACACGTACAGAGCGATTCTCTGTACAAGTAGCAGCCAAATGTGGAACTAAGGAAGGCCACTGCCCCAAAGGAGGAAAGAGCTAAGAAACCCTCCCTCTCCACAAGAAAAGGTCGTAAGAAGAGACAGGTCAGAGACCGTCTATCCAGGGACAGTCTGCAGGACCTGCAGGCAAAAAGCTGCATCCACATGTCAATGACCGTGATGTGCAAGGATACTAATGGGGAGATTTGACTCCAGACAAAATTAAGTAGTATTAAGGCATTACTTATTATTCATTTTATTAGGTGTAATCATAGAATCTATTATATGGGAAAATCTATGTTTTTAAAAGAGATATATACTGAAATGTCAGGATGCCTACAATTTAGTTTAAAAGAGTTTAGCCATATCTGTGATAACCTACAAGAGAAAAGAATCTAAAAAAAAGAATGAATATATGTATAACTGAATATACATATATTCAGTTATATGTAGATAAAGAATGTATTCAGTTAGATGTATAACTGAATCACTTTGCTGTACACCTGGAATTAACTCAACGTTGTAAATCTACTACACTCCAATAAAATTAAAATTTAAAATAAAATAGTTTGGCCATAAAATGAAAAGGCAAGTATGGCAAAAGATTAGCAATCATTAAGTCTAATAAATGCACGTGCAAATTTCCTTATACTGTTCTACTTTTCTGTACTTACCATTTATAGTAAAATATTTGCTGACCCGCTACAGTGTTAGGTGAACAACAGATCAGGTTGTTTTAAGAACGTGTAATATTATCCCATTTTTGTTAAAATGCACACATAGATAAAGGTCTGAAAGAAAGTAAATCAAAATGCTATCAAGGTCATCTCTAGAACAGAGGGATCACGGTCATTCCGATCTTTCCTGCTGGTTTATAGTTTCCAGTCTTCCTACAGGGAGCATGCGTGATTTTGTGTGAGTTTAGGACAACTTAGAGCGGCTGATCTCTCCCTGGGCCCCTTTTCTCCTCTTCAAGACAGCTTAGGTTCATTATTTTAAAAATAAAGCCCATTCATTTTAGGAGGGTCTGTGGCATTGCCAGCCTCCCTGAGGTCAATGGTGCCACGGCGGCGGGACCTGGAAGCAATAAGGGTTGGGAACGACGGCGGCCCCTGTGAGGGCCTGGCCAAGAGGTCAGGGGTGGGATTGAGGCTGGTGGCGGCGGACATAGTCCAAGCTGCAGCTGAGACTCACAGGCCATTCATGGGTGAAACAGCCCAAACGGGGAGGGGGGGCGGGGAGCCAGCAAGCAGGTGCCGTGTGGGCATCAGACTCTGGATGACGGACAGGCCCCAGCAGTTGGCTGGTATGCTTGCCCACAGATGGAGAAACCCTGGGAGGAAATCCTAGAGGGAAAAATCAGGAAGTGGGTGGGGAGGGGATATGCGGACAGGCCCAAAGAGACAGACCTGTGACGACCATCTGGGCCTTTGCTCGTCCGGTCCCAGCCCCGCTGACCGCCGTGCATTCGTATGTGCCTTCCTCAGCCTTGGAGGCTCGCGGGATCTCCCAGCTGCTGTTCCCTGACCCCCTGTGGACAACGAACAGCTGGAGATGGTCCCCCAGCCTCGTCCAGACACTGGGGGGCTTGGTCCCCTGAATCTTGCCCAGAAGGGAGGTCGCAAATCCTCCCGGAGACTCGGTAAGAAGAGGCAGACGGCCAAGGACATGCAAATCCCATGATATGCTATGTGACTCTAAGTGCCTTCCCCTCTCTGAGCCCTGGACTTCCAACCATAGCGGGGAGGTTCTCAAGAGGGTCCTTCCTGCCCTGACCAGCACAGAGCTGGGCCTGCATGGCTTGAGTTTTCAGAAGCTGAGGAAGGCCCATGGCTCTTCCAGCAGCAGTGGGAGCCTCAGGGAACCACCCTCCCCCATCCCTGGCCTAGCTGGGAGGTGCCCAGGAGGACAATATGACTGAGACCAAGGTCCCACTCCTGCCACCCACTCCCCTTAGATCCCTCCAGGACATCAGGCCCCCAGGAGCCCTGGGGCTGGGAACAACGGGCGGCCCCGAGCCACTCACTGAAAGTGCCTCTCCTCGCCCAGCCTGGCTCCATCCCGCCGCAGCTGTAGCCAGAAGGGGAGGGCGCTGTGCACAGAGCAGGAGACCACCAGGGGCTGGTGCAGGTAGCCGTGGATCCTGGGGGGCATGCTGACCAGGGGGGCACCTGTGGGCAAGGACCAGCACTCAGGATCCCTCCAGTGACACAGAGACCCACAGGGATGAGCCGAGGAAAGAAGGCCGGGATACAATCTCTGGCACCACCATCCAGTGGTCACCAAGGGCAGGTCGCGTCGCCTCCTGAAGCCTCAGTTTCCACCTCTGTAAAATGGGGTTAATTGGGTGACTGACCTCACCGTGTTGCTGTGAGGAGCTGGTGAGAGATGGGGTGTGGAAAGCACCTGGCACATGCATGTGGCAGGACCGGCTCCGTCAATGAAAACTCATGGGGTTTTTATGGTTTGTGAGAAGCCTGGCCAGGACGGACCAGCCTGTGCCACCATTTTAGCAAGTCTGTGGGGCAGAGAAGTCAAACCAGCCCTGAAATCTGACGAAATGCTCCCCAGACAGGACTCCCCGGGGGTGTGGGTAGGGCTGTGAGGCTGTTCGTCTGCCTGGAGGGTCAGTTTTACCCAAAGTTGTGGGAGGGAAACCTTTTTTTATTGAAAAGTAAGCATACTTGGAGCGTGGCTGTGAATACAAAATTCACATGCATTTTTGAGATAAAATAAGAGATTTCCACGAAATCCCACAGCTTGGGATGAGCCTCTTGGGAACCCCATCAGATGCCACTGCCCCCCTCGCCTGACCCTGGCCTTGGGGTGATACATATTCTCTCCCTGGCTCTTGGAATTACTTCAGTGGAAAAGTTTGAGAACTGTCCCCCAGGGTCAGTCTTGGACTGTCCATGCCTCACTGGGCGATCACGGACGTGTGCTGAACCCGCGCGCTGCCCTCTCCCCCATCCCCACCAGAAATGCTCCGAGGCTGAGGCAATGTGCCAGACCTCCTCTGAGCATAGAGCTGGAGGTGGGAGGGTGGCTGGTGACATCATGCTACAGGCTCCCTGCCACATCCCAGGGGAGAGGGGCGTTGGCCCATCCAGCCACGTCCTCAGCTGCGTGCCCAGCAGCCACCACTCACCCCCACGCACTGGAAGCCTCTGCCGGGCCAACTCCGGCTCCCTCTTCCTTGAGCTCGAAGAGCCCAGGGACCTGAGGCCCCGCCCTCCCCACCCCCATGTCTCCAAACCCAGAGCCTCCTTCTCTCAGTCAAACTCCCAGCCTCCCAGACCCGGAAAGTAGGGGAGGCACATCCCGCCCCCAACCCCGCCTCCATACTTTAATCTACAGCTGACATGGAGACCAAAAGCCAGCTCTAAACTCAGAACTCTGGGAACCATCTGAAAGAACAGGAGAGAGAAACGGAGGCTGCTGAAATTGCTTCCTGAAACTTCCTCCTCAAAGCTGTAAAAAAAGGCCAAGGGAGGAGAAGCCCAGGGGCCACAGCAGGGGAGTGGAGGCCAGGAGACGGAAAGAAGGGGTCCCAAGCCCCCGACCCCACCCTGCCCGATTCGGGTCCGCCAGGTCCTCCACGTCGCCACCGGCACATTGGCACCCTCCCTGCATCCTTAAATGAAGTGGGATGACCCCCAGCAAAGCTGATGATGGAGTGCCAGTGTCATCCACCTCTGAACTCCTCCCCGGTCACTGCCAGGGGAGGGGGGAGTGGGCTGGAAGAGGCAACAAAGCCCAATAAGGAGGCCGATGGCCAGTGAACTCAGACCCCACCCCACCCCAGCACCAGAGGCAGATCTGGAAAGCCAAAGACTTTGCCCTGCCCTCTGGGAGCTTCCAGCCCAGATGGTGAGACCTCAGGGACACACGGGAAACCAGCAAAAGCCACACACATGGGAACCAACACAACGTGACCTACAATGACGTCACAGTAACAGCAGCTGTGTGGAGGGTCCCGGTCCACGGTTCCCATGTCCTGTGTGCAGCCTCTTGAATACCCAAGAGCTGTCTTGTTATGTGCGTTAGCTTACGGAACCCTTCGAACAACCCTATAAAATGGGTGACCTCGGCTTCCCCAGCTATAAAATGGGGACACATCTCAGAACTTGTGTAAGCATTCAATGAGCTAATGCATGGCAAGTGCTTGGCCTAGGACTGTCCCATGGAAAGTGTTCAAAATGGTGACTAGATGAGTATTACCATGATTTCGACTATGATAGCAATTATGACTAGGGAAGGGCATACCCATACCCACTGCCCTGCCCACTGCTGTGTCTACAGTGCCGAGTACCATGACCGACACAAAAGGAATGGTGAACGCACAGGTGGATGGATGGACAGATAGATGGATGGATGCGGGGATGGGTGGATGACTTTGCAGCAAATCCTGCAGCTGAAAGCTACATCTGAAGATCTCAGTATTTGGCATAATGTCTTGCAGAGCCTGCTGCCCAGAGAAGTTTAATGAAAAAAATTTCCTAATCTAATCTAATTTAATCTAATCTCATCAGAAGAGCCTTCCGGAAAGAAATAAGCCTCCAAGGGAACCAGGGAGCTGGGGGTGGTACGAGCCAATCACTCACCTGGGGCCACCCCACGGTAGGAAACTCCAGAGACGCGGAGGAGGGCGTTTCCCTCATGGTCCTTGCCCTTCACCTTGAGGTAGAAGCGCTCCTGGGGGGTGCGGAAGGACGGCCCACCCCACAGCTGATGGGTGGATCTGTTGGAGAGGAGCTGCATGGGCAAAGTCAGGAGGGACCGCCCTGAGCTGTGTGAGAGCTCCATTGAGTCCAGGTGGCCAGGTGCCTGCAGGCCTGTGGAGTTGATCACCAGGGAGATGGGCACCCCTGCAGAGGAAGGGCGAGGAAGGAGATGCTGCCATCTGTGCTGGGCTCCACGATCCTCCCCAAGCAGGGGCTCTAGGACCACAGTCAGAGAGCAGCCTGCCTGGCTGACCCTCACCCGCTCCCTCACCTTCTCTTCCCTGGGCTAACTAATGCTGGGTGGGATAAGGAGAGAAGTGGGGGGGCTTGCTACTGTCCGTGGTCCTGAAACACCAGTGTCCCTTCAACCCACGGCTTCCCATGGCTACATCCCCTCTACTGTGCAGACTGGGGCGCTCACTGAGCAGAACTGGGAAGGGGTACCCCCACCCCTGCCCCACCACTAACTGCTGGCTGTCGTCAGGCAGGCTCTGGGACCGGCCGAGGTGAGACACACGCCCCGGTTTGGGAAGGCTGACTCCTGCCCATCCTTTCCCCATGCTCATCTTTCCTCTGGTTTCCTTTTCTATCTTGTTGAAATGCACTTTCCACGCTATCCCAAGACAGACAGAACTGGACTTGGGTTTTATAGTCTCCTAAGCTGATGTGGGAACAGTCAGGTCGCTCCCTTGGCAGGTGGCTTTTCATTGTTTTTTTCCTCTCACTGATCATAAACCAGGGACCAGAGGATGTGGTCCAGGAAGTGCCTTCACATTTTTGAAAAAGTATCAAACAACCTGGAAGGGGCACATACAAATCTAGAAGTCCAGATTCCTTTGAAAAATCAATGTGTCAGCGCTGGGCGCCATTCCCGCATTGCAAGAAGCAGCCAACGGCGTGCAGCAGCTGTGGCCCAGACCCCCACTGTCCAGTTAGCCACAGCCTCGCCCACTCCCTGGTGCCCCTGGCACTGAGACCAATCGCCATCTATCATTTGCAATTGCCCTGCTGTTTCTCTGTCTCTTTTGGATGTCTGGGACCCACATCTTTATCAAAAGCAGAAACCAAAGAGGGTCACACCCTTCACCCTCTTCCACTGGAGACTGGCCAGTTTTCAATCCCTACTGTAACACTTCATGTAGGATTTCTTTTCTCTCTTGGCTTTAGAATAGGAGCTAAGTTTCTCTGCCTCGGGCCCTCCCTCGCACTGGCAGAAACAAACACGACATGAGCACACAGACCCCTTTTTCACTTTGAAGATATTACTGCTGGTCCTGGCAGGGAAACCTACAAGGGCTGACAAGAATGACAGACATTAGAGGAGATACAGACTAGAAAGAAAGCCCTAAGGATCCAGCACACACCATTTAGGGGTCACTATTCTGTGGTCCAAAGTTAGCCTGACCTGGTCTAGTCGCCCCCATCTCTGCTCAGCTGGTCCTCGCAAAATCCTCCGGATGGACCCGTGGCAAGACACCATATTTTCCAAACTATAAATGGGGACCCTGGTCTGGCTACCAGGTGGCATTTTCTGGCAAGAAGCTCTGGCACCCTGAGCTAGAAGTCTCTGCCTGCTCTGGGGTCCAGCTTCCTCCAGGTGGAGTCATGATGGGGTACGTAGGCAACCTCGGAACCCAGTGCGCGGCTTCTCATTGGAAAACTGATCCTACGCCTCCAACGTCCCCCCAGGCTATCAGCCTCCAGGAGCATCTAAATGTCCATCAGGACACTCGTTCCCTTGGAGTGAGACACTGGTCCCCCTTTCGGGGAAGGTGTCCACTGAA